ATTCAGCTGGTTTGTAATAATTATTTGTAAACAACATTGGGGTGATTCGTGAAAAGGGCTGGGTAGTTACATATCTGTTGGGTAACTCGGGTAGATACCATGCCTATAGGATTGTGTTAATGCATTTGCTATGTTTTGTTTTATTTCCACAATATTAGAAACCATGCTTATAAGATCTAAATGGCTCTAATAATAGAAATCATGCTTATAGGGTTTAAGTTAACTTTACCATTAGATATCATGCCTATAGGGTGTAAAGTGATTGAGTTCAATTTCTGTTACAGCATGTATTTTACATTCATCTTACTAGAAATCATGCCTATAAGTTTGAAATCAGTTCTTAACAATTAGATACTATGCCTATAGGAATTAAAATCAGTTCTAGTAGAAATCCTGCCTATAGAACTTAAAATCAGTTTAGTTAAACAAAGTTTAGTTAGTTCATTCTGAATTGGTTTAGTCAACTGTCCGTTTCTTTAAATGAGTTCTCAAGCACTGCCTCAATTTACTACCGCTAGAAAGCATGTCTATAAGATCTCAAGTGTCTGTAAAAAACTGTTCACTGTTTTACTGCATTCCTAATGAATGTATATGTCATGCTCTTAGGACACCACTGTTCTGCGCTTAGGCAAGCCACTAGGGCGATTCAAACTCTGCAACTATGAAACTATGCTTTGTTATTTAAAACCGTCCAGATTTAACTGGTCTAAATCAGTAGGCAAGCTAAATAGGATTTTTCACACTTCGTCCTAATTCAATACTGTATAATCCCTGCTCGCCTAGATATCATGTTCTAGGATTTTCCCTTAAATACCTGACTGTTGTTTGAAGACATGCATTTACTTGTTATATTTGTGGAGGTAACTGTGAGCCTGTAATTTGTTCTCTTTAAATGCAATCCTAATTGTTCTTGATTGGCGCCTAGACTTTTATCCTTTAAAACCTTAGGAAGTTCTAGAACTGTCCAAAGTGAGGCCCTAAAATACCTCCAGGGCCACGAGGAAGGGACGGGTAGTGCACGCATAAGATATTTTCAAGGTTGCTAGAGCGCTTTAGGCTATGACCAAGGGGAGGGAATTGGATAGTAGGGATATAATGACTACGCGCTAATGTCACGTGTAGCCCCTTATTGAGGAGTGTTTACCTGGCATTGTGTGGGGTGATCCTGTTGGCTAACCAACCTAGGACCCCTCTTTCCCAATTCCCAATGTTTAAACTTTTCTTTTTCCCTATACATGCAATTTTTTCAAGTCTTTCCTTTGTCTCTTTACTTGAGTCATACAATGTTCAAAGCATGCCCTTATTTGCAATTATGTGTTTAAACTATTTATTTATTGAAAGGACTAATTCATAAGTATAAGTTCGGCCGGGACCCACCGTTGTGGACCAAGAGGGGTGCCTAACACCTTCCCCTCAAGGTTATTTCGAGCCCTTACCCTAAATCTCTGGAAATGCAAACCAGTCTAAGAGTTAATCACTCTAGGTGCCCTAACGCACCATAATTCGTTAGGTGACAACTCTTCAAAATACCCAAATCCCAAAAGGAAATGAGTTATTTCCCCCATGAATATCGAAACCCAGACTTCTCCCCGCAAGGAGGGAAAAAGGGAGCACGACAACAACCAAATTATTTTGTTAAGGAGGCTGGCTGTATTTTCATTAGCCAATGCAGTTGGAAAACCTTTGCAAGTAGATTTAGCCACCAAAAATCAAACAAGGCCCATCTGCGCAAAGGTTAAGGTTGAGTGGATTTGTCGTGTGAATTTCCTCAGAGAATTCAAATTGGTTATCGTAAAAAGTCAACTGGGAGTTTGTGTCTAAGTGGATTAAAAATTAGATACGACTATGTTCCTATGTATTTCATTCATTGTAATTTACAAGGTCACAAGGAGGAAAAATGCCAAAAATTACATCCTGAGCTAATTCTTGTTGAACTAGGAGAAGGAGAAACAATTGTTGAATCCGGAAAAAACACGGAGAAGCAGCAAGGCAATATAAAAGAGGCTTCTATATGCATATTGTCCAGTGGAAAGGTTGTTGGAAATATTAAAAAGGTTGGAGATTGGAATATTATTCGTGATATCGAAAACTGACTAAAAATCCAGTCGAAGGAAAGAATCATAATGTTGAAGGAGACAAACAGGTGAATGTACCTGCCAATGTGCAAGAGTACCATGTGGATACTTCTTCTAATGCTTTTACAGTATTGGAACTAGGTGAAATTGATCAAGAAAATCATGAAAAAGAAGAAGAACAGGAGGTCTAAACTTTGGGCAGGATGAAAAATTCAAATCCTAACCTACTCCAAACCCGAGGTTAGTGCAACCCATGCGATGCGTATGCTAAGAATTGGGTTGAACAGTCATTTGGTATGGTTTTTAATGGAGCTAGAGAAGTGGAGAAGGCTACAAACAGTATGGAGAATGTACCTAAGAATGTTTATGTGAGGGATGTTGAAAATGGAGATAAGGAGGTAGATTCTCAAGGTAAGAAGGCACATGAGTTGGCTGTTTCAAATCCAACTGATGGAGATAAATCAGTGAAAGTCACCACATAATGCAGGCAAAGATTCTGAGTTGCACGATGATCTTGCACAACATGGAGGTATTGAAGATGAAGATGCAAGTCACAAGGAAACAAATTTAGTGGAGAATACATTAGCTGAAAAGGACAAAACACTGGTTATGGCTGACACTTCGATGGACGAAACACAACTAAAACCTTTGAACAAGGCAATCTAAGTGGTTGAGCACAGAAGTAAGGATCCAGGTACTCTTGCTAGGAAGACATTTAGTGTCACAAGTGGAACTTTGGAAAAAGGAATCCTACTGAATCAGAGGAGTCAGAAGGAATTGGACATGATTGCTAAGAATCTGAAGCAAGACCTTTAGCTCTTCAAGTTGTTGATGATGGACAAAAGGAACAAGGAGATTTAGGGGAGGACATAGCTGAGGAATCCACAGCTGCTAACTTTCAACAAGTAGCTAGAGATGGAGATTTGTCACTAAGAAGTATTGACAAAAAGTAATCGGGTGCTAAACAGGCCAAGAAGCATAAAGATAAAAATGTGCCAATTAGGGTACAACCATAGAGGAGTGGGGTTCCTATTTCAAATAATCTCATGGATAATGCTTTAGTTTGGAATGTGAGGTCAGTAAACACAAAAATCTTTTCAAAGGTTGATTAACCTTCATAGAAAGTACAAATTTTATTTAATTGTCTTGATGGAACCATGGCAAGACATTAACAAGTTAGAAGAATATAGAAGAAGATTGGGAATTTATGCTATTTTTGCTAATGTATCTGGGAAAATATGGGCATTTGTTGATGAAGATTTTGATGTATATGTTATGATTGATATGGATCAACAACTCACTCTTAAATTGTTTCATAGAATTCTTGGAAAAGAAATTGTTGTCACACGGATCTATGCAAAGTGTGATAATTTGGAGAGAATTGAACTGTTGGACTCATTGTATCATCTAGCTTCTGACATAGATTACGTTGTCTTGTAGGAGGTGATTTTAATGTCATTTTGACATAAGAGGAGAAGTATGGTGGACTGCCTATTTATCTTAGTGAAGTCGAAGACTTTGTCCATTGTGTTGATATTTGTGCTCTCTATGATCTTGACTTTAAAGGTAGTCTATATACATAGTGGAATGGGAGATCTGATGATACTTGCATTCTCAAAAGGTTGGACAGGTTCTTAGCCAATCAACAATTCCAAGACTTATTTCTAGCTTTTGAGGTAGAACATCTCATCAAATATGGGTCAAATCATGCACCCCTTTTGTTGTCTTGCAATGTCAATATTGTCCAAATTAAGAAATCATTCAACTTTCTTAATTTTTGGGTAAAACATGAGACATTTCTGGATATGATAAAGGAACGTTGGCACATTGATATCATGGGGAATCCTTTCATCATATTTCCACACAAGTTAAAGAATGTGAAGAAAGCACTTGCAACATGGAGTATAGAAATATTTGGAGACATATTCAAGCAAACTACTTCATTAGAATATGTCATTAAGGTACATGAAGTAGAGTTTAGACTCAGCCCCACTGCACATAATAGAGTTAAACCTCACAAGTTACAAGTTGATCTTACTAGATACTTGCACTTGGAGGAGGAGTTTTGGAGACAAAAGGTTGGTATGAAATGGTTCCAAGAAGGACATAGAAATACCAAACCTTTTCATGCTCATGTTAGGGGGAAGAGAAATAGGTTACAAGTGTCAAGAATTCTTGATAACAATGGCAATTGGATTGACAATCAAGATGGCGTGGCAAATGAGGCAGTGGAGTTCTTCAAAGCTCAATTCACTGAAGAAAGGGTGCCTAAAAATTTTGATATTGTGCATCATATCCCTAGAATGGTCACTGAAGAGCAGAATACAAGACTATGAGAAGAACCTACTATGGAAGAGATAAAGTGACTTGAACGGTGATAGTGCTAGTGGTCCAGATGGGTTCACTGGCCAATTCTATCATGTATTCTGGGGTGTTATATGTGATGATATAATTAGCATGTTCAAGGTTTTCTTTTGTGGTTTTGGGTGTCCTAAATTCATAACACACACAAATTTAGTGTTGTTTCCTAAGAAGAAGAATGTGGCAACCTTTTTAGACATGAGACCAATAAGTTTAAGCAATTTCTCAAACAACATCTCTAGGGTACTACATAAGAGACTATTGGACTTACTGCCTACCCTAATCTCTCGAAGGAAGGAGCATTGTGGAAAATATCTTTTCAACATAGGAAATTCTCGCATATATTAGAATGAGGGGCAAGCCATCAAATATGGTGATCAAGCTAGACATGGCTAAAGTATATGAAAGAGTTTCATAGATATTCTTGACAAATGTGTTGCGGCAAATGGGGTTTCGAGAAGTCTTCATAGATATGGTATATAGGTTGGTCTCCAACAACTGGTATTCAGTACTTTTGAATGGTCATGCTAATGGATTCTTTAAGTCTACAATGGGAGTCAAACCATGGTTTCCTTATCTCCTATATTGTTCATACTAGCAACTGAGGTCCTTGGAAGAGCTTTGGATACTTTGTTTTATAATCCAAAATTTATTGAATTTAGAATGCCCAAATGGGGTCACAACATCAACTACTTCTCATATGCTGAAAATACAATCATCTTTAGCTCATCACACTATGGGGCTATACAATTAATCATGAATGTGTTGGAGGAGTGTGAGGCAACTTCTAGGCAGAAGATCAACAAGGAGAAATCATCATTCTATATGCATGAAAATGCACCTCCTGATGAAGCTAATACAGTGCACCTGATTACCAACTTTCTGAGGCATCCCTTCCCTTTTACCTACCTTGGATGCCCTATGTTTTATAGTAGAAGGCATAAGAATTTCTTTAAGGACATTATCTTCAAAGTGCAGGAAAGGCTTCAATCATGGAAGGACAAGCTACTATCTATTGGTGGAAGGGCAATATTGATTGCACATCTGCTTGAAAGCATTTCAATCCATTTCTTATCGGCTGTCAATCTACCTCCCTATGTGATTGCTTAATTGCACAGGATTTTTGTTAGATTCTATTGGAGAAATTCAGGAAATGGAAGGGAAAGACATTGGGCTTCATGGGATACAATCTATAAATATGAAGGGGTCTTGGTTTTAAATCCCTTCATGATATGTCTAAGGCTTTGTTTGCTAAGCTTTGGTGGAACTTTAGAACAAAAGACACCTTGTGAACTACGTTTATGAGGAATAAATATTGCAAGAAGATCAATGAGGTCCTAGTGCCTTGGAAAGATGGCTCACATGTGTGGAGAAAGATGATTGAAATGAGGGACACTCTTGAATATCAAATATGGTGGCAATTAAAAAAGGACAATGCATTCTTTTGATATGATAATTTGATGGTCTTGGACTACTTTACCATGTTTCAGGACCAAACCATTAGTATGATGAAACTATCACACATGTTAGTGATGTAGTGGAAAATAGGGGCTGGGATGTAGACATGTTGAGGGACATTCTACCTGATGAGCTAGTTGAGGATATATTGGAGAATATTGCACCACCAAGCTGTCATGACATGAAGGATAATCCATGGTGGCAATTGGAGTCCAAGGGCCAACTTTTCATTGAAGACTGCTTGGCAATATATTAGGAGGAGAAGACAGGAGAAAGAGGTTACCATTTAAGATGCCGTTTTTATGTGGAGGTTATGGAAAGTAAAACTACTACTTGATGAATCCTTAAGAAGAATGGGGTACTCAATACCATCAAGATATTGGTGTTGTAGAAACCCTAGAGAAGAAATTATATGTCATGTGATTTTGAGATTTCCAGTGGCCATGTTCCTATGGAGGTACTTTGTGCACCGGCATGGATCAACATTGAAGGTAAACAACTTGTCCAAGTGATAAATGAGAGGTGGAGAGGCCAGGCAATACAAGCTTGAGGATAGCCTACCAAGTCATCCCATCCTTGATTGTGTGGAATTTGTGGAAGAGAAGGAATTCCGGAATGCATGGGAAGAGAGTTTCTATTAATAGGTTGATTTTTCAAGCGTCCAATGACCTATACATGTTGATCAAGTTCAGAAGGATTGCATTCTCAGGGATTATAGCCAACTGACCAGACTTGGATGATAAATTAGAATATCACATTCCAAGGTTGAAGTATACACGGGTCTTAAGGCAATGGCCTCCTGTTGGGTGGTTAAAATGAAATAATGATGGTGCATGTAGAGATGCTACTTTAAGGGCTTCTTATGCCTTTTGCATTAGAGATGGGATTTGGTGATCTAACATATGCACAAGTAGAGGAGATTTTTGATGCTACAAAAAACATAGCTAAGGAGATTTTTTATGCTACAAACAACATAGCAGAAGCTAAAGCCATCCTAGAAGCGCTAAGGTACATTGTTCATTCTCAGTTTACCTCTTGTGTGATTGAAACTAACTCTTTGTTGATGAAAAAGAGTGTTAGAAGATGTGTGGGAACCACATTGGCATATTGTTGCATTAGTTGAGGAGATTAATGAGCTAGAAGTTAGTTGTGTGGTCGAGATAGCACATGTGCTAAGGGAAGGAAATCAACTAGCCGGCTATCTTGTTAATGTTACATTGGACAACAATGCTATTGTCCAGGTTCTTTCTTTTGAGGAACTGGATATTAAAGGGAGGAAGATTTAAAATAAGGCAAAATACATAAAGAGATCAAAGTTGGCTCCATATGTCTATCTCACACTCCAACTTACCAGGCGATCATATAGATACTTTATGTTTGATTTTATTGTGTCAAATAAACACACGTGTCTGACATGGAAACTCGAGTTAGATACAAACACTGGGCAGCACCTCAGGTTAAATTTTTCTTGGTTGTAACGGCTAAAAAACTGCAAAATTACTATTATACCCTTAATGAATTCATTTTATGTTTATCCCAATTCTCAAATTCCTAAACCTAAATCCCCATTATTCACCGTTCTTCCTCGACATTTTTCTACTTCTATCTTCCTACTTTCTCTATTACGAAGCATTATCAAAAATGGAAGGCACTTTGTATTGTCATTATGGTAAAAGGGAAGAACTGATGATTTTGTGTTCACAAAATAACCTAGGTCGTAGGTATCTTGGATGCCAATATGGTCGAGTAAGTAACTTTTAAATTTATTTTTGTGCCTATTTTGTTTTTTTAAAATTGTTTGGCCAAGACTTCATTTTTATGGACCTTTCTTACTGTTTTACATGAGGGGTGGAAGTATTTTAGTGGTTTGATGATGAATTTTCTGAACAAGCTAGGATTGTAATTTGGGGATTTTGAAGAGGATAAAAAACACGAGGAAGAAAAGGAGAAGATGAGGAAAAAGTACAGAATGTTGCCGGTCATTGTGATACTCGTTTGGATTGTTAGAGAGTTTCTTATGTAATATTTGCTGTGTGTGTTGAAATTTAGTTGGTTGAAGGAGCTATTTTGTGTATTGGCAGTTATATAAACCAGTAGCTCTTTTGAATGTTGTAATGTAAGACACTTAGCTGATACAAGTTGAACCACTTTTTGACAAATATTTCAGCAACATTTTGACATGACTAATGTTCTCCCCAACCGCAACTACAAGACACAAATACAAACTGTACAATAAACTCTACCAAGCAAATACAATCTGTAGAATAAACTGTAAATTTTATTGCTCAAACCAACGCAATAGTCACAAAATAAAATGTCAAGATTACATTTGAAAAATTAATTTAATAGCAAATAACTAAAACTGCAGTTTTAGGTTCATGAAAACCAAATTAGACAAAACACTTGAACAAACTACATAAGTGAAATCTTCTCTACTGAGCCCTTTTCTTCTTCATTTGCATCTCTTTTTGTTGTTGAAGTTGGTTTCCACTTATAGCAGCTTTTCCCTTCCATTTCAATTCAGGTGGCTAAAATTCAAGATCAATATTGGTAAATGATGCATTCTTTAATTGTCTCCCACTAGAGATGACTCTTGCACTTAGTGCTCCAGGCTGTAAATTTAAGTGATATCTATTAGGCAATCTATTAATAACTTATGAAATAGCTATCATATAGAAATGTGAAAGAGCTTACATTAAAAACTTGTCTTCCAGACTGTGTGTCTGTATAAATGCCAAATCCCAGTACTCTTGTTCCTTTTTTCCAACAGCAGCAGAAATAGATTTAGTAGCAGCATGAAGAGAAGCAGCAGTAGCAAATCTAGCAAGTGCACTGGCTGTTGTACTTGTTGAATCAAAACTAGCCCCCATTCCCCTTCCTAAGCCAGTGCCCCTTCCTATACCAGTTCCCCTTCCCTTTCCTCTGCCAACTCCTATTCCTAGTCCTCTCCCTCTACCTCTCCTAGTAGAAGTATTATTTCTAACTCTTGTAGTATCTTGACACAAAGAAGAAGGAACACTAGTTGTACTAGATTGTTGAGTAGCAGGTTGACTATTTGGTGTTGCTTCAGTTGTTGTTCTTGGTCTTTCTTGAGGCTATAAGTAACAAAATAAAGGTTAGAAGACAAAGGTCAACAAGTAAGTAGATCAATGAAATAAAAAAAGGACATACCCCTGATTTGCACCCTTTTTTGTTGTGGCCAATTTGGTGGCAGTTAGAACATGTCATTGGCTCCTTTCTTTGATGTTTTTCCCCATTTCTTTTTTCTTGGTTCATCTTTGTCATTTCTCCTACATCTCTTGGGTCTACCTGGTATTGGTTTAACTTCAGGTGGCTCGACTGGTGGATTATTTGATTCAGGCCACATCTTTATATTGGGATTGGTTGAATGAAGTGCTTATAAGCATTCAAGTATGTATCTTTTCTATACCAATGCTCAACATAATCCTCTGGATCTTCCACAATATGAGATAATGCACAAACTACATGGGCACAAGGGATACCCCTCAATTGCCACAGTCTGCAACTACATGTTTTCCTAACCATGTCAACAATGAACCTATATTCCCCTTCCTCAATTTTAAAGCTAGTGTCAGCATTACACATCACTTTTAATCTCCTACCTACTTCTTTATTTTCTTCTAAAGCTAATCTTTCCATGGGTGAATTGTCACTGATCCAAGTTTCAGCAAATTTGATCATATCCCTATGTCTATTCATTATCTTATGTCTAATATCTTCAAGCATACTAATTACTGATTTATGCCTAGGACCCACAATCCAAGAGTAAAATGTCTTCACATGTTATTTTCAACAATATCACACGTAATATTTTCACTAAAATAAGCCCTGCACCAATACTCTTTTATTATAACTAAGTAGGGATTCGGAAATGTTATGCCCAAGTTTATTTAAGTGTTCAAATTCTTCTTTCAATTTTACCTCAAAACTGGCCTTACCACATCTCCAGAAGGTTTTCTTCTTGCTTCACCTCTCCATATTTTTTTTCCAGTTTGCCCAAATATTCCTTGCACACGTCCTCCTTTCAGCATTAGGAAGTAATTCTTGAACAGCTAGAATAAGGCCCTTATAGACATAAAAAAGGAAACAAAATGAAATAATCAACAGAAAGCATGTTTAAGAAACAGAAATGAAATAAGCAACAGAAAGCATGTTTAGTATAGTACCTTTTGCATGTCAGACATTATTGTTAATCCATCTCCTAGACCAAGCTCCAAATCTTGAATGAGATGACTTAAGAACCAACTCCAAGAATGTTTAGTTTCTTGGTCAATAACTGCCCATGCTATTGGGTACATTTGCTGATTCTCATTCTTTCCAATAGCAAGTAACAGTTCACCTTTGCAGGCCCCCTTCAAGAAACAACCATCCAATCCTATGATCCTCATACAACCTTCTAACTATCCCTTTTTCAATGCATCAAAACAGACATAAAAATACTTGAACAAATGTTTCTCAGGTTGTGTCTCATTATAAATTCTGACCCAACAAGAAGTCCCGGGATTGTACTCTTAATCATATCAGCATAGTCCAGCAGACTTGAAAACTCAACAGACCAGTCAACCATGAACTTACAACACTCATCTTTGCCCTATAACACACTGATCTTCCCACCTTCAACCCCAACTCTTTTCTAATTGTTTCTTGCAACTTATACACTCTAATATCAGGTTAAGAGATTATTCTGTCCTTGAACTTCTTAGCAATATATTTAGCTGAGCATAACTTGTTCTTGTTCTTTGTATTACATTTATGGGCTGTATAGTATTTTTTCACAGTGAAATAATCCTTATTAACACTACCATACAGCTCTTAATTACATAACTTTCCTTTACATTTTACCCTTACTCTATGTGGTTCATTGGGTCTTAGAGTTAATTGAATATTCTCCTGAATAGCATAGTCAGCTACTGCTTGTCTAAAGCATTGCACATTTTCAAATATCATACCTATTCAAATAAAGCATACTTGGCAGAATCATCATACCTCAGCTTTTTGCTTTTTCTTCTTGAAGGTAAATCAACACCTGGTTGTGCAAGAACATCTAAATCTTCACTGCTGTCTTCACTAGCATCATCTGATGAGTAAATAAAGTCTTCATCACCACCCAACTTTCCAACAAATCTGTCTTTCTTGTTAAGCCCTAGATCCTCAAATCCCTTATCTACCCCAGCTTCCCCAAGCTCCACTTCTTGAATGACATTGGCTTTTCTCCGTTTTTTTGTTTTTCTTACACTTATCTTTTCTTTTCTAGCGGTCTCTCTAAAAGCCCTCAATTCTTCTTCAATTTCACTGCCATCTTCATCATAAATATTCTCTAAGTTATCTTCTTCAAAGTCTTCATTATCACTACTATGTTCATCATTAAGAGGTCGTTCTACCTCCCCCTCAACCCCATCTGCCTCATTTAAGGTCGTATTTATAGCACCCTCAATCTGTGTTGCCCTAGAATTAACCTTACCTTCTATATTAATTGTTTCTTGGTCCATATCATCAACCAGTGGACCTACAACACTGCCAGCAGGGACCCCTTCTTCCACCATGACATGTTTCACATACACGTCAATAATGGACCCAGTACGCAAGTCTTTAACAATATTATATAGTTGGCTGCCAGTTTTTAATGCAACAAATTGAATATTGGTAGGGTCTTTGTCATAAAAGCCTTCAACTTTATCATACCCAATATCCTTAGTGTAATATTTTATCTCGGTCAGAGAGAAATGGTCTTTATCTACCGTAAAACAACCATTTCCAACTCTCCAACATTTTGTCTTTCAATAACCCTACCCCCGTGGTGAAAAACAACAATAATAGAGCCACCCTTGTGAACAAACTCTAAAAAAGACAAGAAATAAAGGTCATGATTCCCTACCCTTTAATAGACGGAAAAGCCAAAACATTTTCCCTTTAACAGAGTACAGTAACAGAGTAAAACTTTTCCCAAAAATAAAAAAAAATTCCATTTACAAACGCAGGAAAAAGAGATAACAAACAGTAGAAATGTTAATACCTCTTAATAAAATCTCTTCTGTTATTTGTCTTCAAGCCCACTCCGATCGATATAGATTATCTTCCACACCAATGACTAACGACAGATGAACGAAGCAAAATTAAAGGCAAAGAATGGATAAGGTTCTAGTTTTTTAAGTTTTATCGAAGATATTGAACGATTACCCCCACCATTGAAGATTGATGAAGATCGATTTGAGGAGATTTGGGAATTAGGGTTTTCAGTAAAAAGAAATTTACTGAAATGAAAACTCCCGTTTAATTTGCCCTCTTTTGTATCGTTTTAATTTTATTTATTTTTTCGTTTTAATTGTCGCTGAAAAGTTTAACCACGTGTAGTCTACATGTTAAATGCCGATTGGTTCACTTAACCACGTAGGCACGACTGTATGCATGTCACGCATTATACCTTCCAGGGACGTGTGTTTACTTGATACAATAAAACCAAACATAAAGTGTTTATATGGTCACTTGGTAAGTTGGAGTGTGAGATAGACATACGAGACCAATATTAGGTGTCTCTTGCCTTTAAATAATGACAAATTACAATTGCCATACATCAGGGTGAGGAATGCAGAGCCAAATTCTATATGATGATGAAAGGAGATGCTATGAAGGGGATCCTATAGGGAGTTGTAATGGTTTGGATAATAATGTTGATGGGTATAGGTCACGATGTAAATATAGGAGGTGGAGATCATCCTGATCTTCCTACTCTAATCCATTTGGAGGAGAGTAGAAAGGTATGTTTTGCTAACAAGGTTTACTGTTTTGCAGGTACATATTTGAGGATTGGAACCTATGCTTTGGCAAAACCTAAAAGGGTGGTATTAGTATCTTTGATGCTCATTACCTTTAGGATTAACCAACGTATAGGCCAGTCCACATACATTGCTCATCACACTTTGGAGAAGGTGTAGAGGCACTCACCTGTTGGAAGGTAATTTCTCAGTTGTGGAGTTGGAAATGCGACCAATAAGAAGTTGTACAATATGGCACTCTCAACATCATTGGATGGTCAGCTTTCTTGGTCAAGGTTACAATATTACGTATGCTAATTTGCTGGCAGTTTTGTTGATCACAATCAATCCAGATCATGCAACATTTAACGATAAAGAATCCATGATAGCTCAGGTGATATTTATAGGCATTATGGACAGATTGACAAAGTGGAATGTGTGCAACAATTGCCATGATACGTGGATAATTCATCCCAACACTGGATACACTTGAGGAGCAAGCATTTGACGGAGCTTCATCTACCTAGGAAGGGGTATTTTGGTGCCGAGAGGATGCAGACTTGGAAACAAGGATCAATGGCTAACTTTGTACTTCTTTCATTTAGTACTTGTATACGATCAAAATCGGGTTTCCCTAATTTTGTATGGATAATCGAAACCAGGGTGGCAGACCAAAGCTCGGCCTCACATTGTATCGAACCATGGCACGGAGATAGGTTGTTACGCTCAATAATCGGTGATCGATCAAGAAAGAGACCAGCCGTGATCGAGACCGAAACGGGGTCGAGATCGAACGAGATCACAGGGGGACTGCTAAAGTCGAATAACAGAAAGTCGAGATATCCATGATCGGGCAAGGATCGTGGCGGAAATCTCGGCACGTATCAAGTCAAGGCCGGACATTTAGCCAATCATGAGATTTCCTTCTGTATTTAGAATTGTACCATAAGTATAATTTCTCTACTATATAAAGGGGGTTCTAACCATTTTGTAATCATATTCACGCATAACAAAGTACTACATTACAGTTTCTCTCAAGCTCTATTCATACTTTTTATAGCATACTTTGTTGGTTCGAGGGCAATCTAGCTCGAAAGCCATAACCGCTCATTATATTGGTTTGCTTTATTTTACAGTTAATTTCTAATATTAATTCTCATTTTTCTTAGTTTGTGCCGAGTGAAATCACATATCCTTAAAATCACTTATAAGTTTAATTGTTATCCAATTTTAAGGGTAAACAGTTTGGAGCCCACCGTGGGGCTAAGGCTAATAGTGATTGCCTGGTACAAATTTTTGTAACACACACCATTTTACGCTTGTTCTTTGAAGTGTATTTGATTACAGGATTGAAAGATGTCAAACTCTCAGTCAACACCTTAACACATTGACAATAATCTCAGCCACCAGGACGAGAATGAGAACATTGCATCAGGAAACGTTGCACCCCCTGCTGGACTCGATGGAGTTCCGACTGCAGACCCAATCGATGTCAGTTCACATGCAGCCATCAATGGAAATGTGGCCGTCGATCCCGAAAGCAGCGTTCGTGGGGGTACCCGATCAACTACTCAGAATACGCATGGCGGTGAAGATGGCAAGATTAGCCTGCGGGTAATTTTCAAAATGTTGCAGGCCCAGCAGGCAGCAATAACTCAGCTCCAAAATCAGAACCACATGCCGAGCAAGGTCGAACACGAGCCGTCCTAAGAAATTGTGCACAGGGTCGAATCGACTTCGAGAAAATTGAATGAGAAGGAATTGAAGACAAATCCCGCTATCCTTAAAATGCTCGAAGAGTTGACGAAGCGGATCGAGATAAGAGAAAACAAGATCGAGGAAAATGATAAGAAGGTGGAAACCTATAACTCCAGGGTCGACTAGATCCCGGGGGCACCTCCGATATTGAAAGGACTAGATTCTAAAAAGTTTGTGCAAAAACCCTTCCCCCCAAGTGCGGCTCCGAAGCCAATCCGCAAGAAGTTCCGCATGCCCAAGATTCCAAAGTATATCAGAACGACTGATCCAAATGAACATGTCACCTCGTATATGTGCGCCATAAAAGGAAATGACTTGGAAGATGATGAAATTGAATCCGTATTGCTGAAGAAATTCGGGGAGACTCTTTCAAAGGGTTCCATGTGGTATCATAATTTACCGCCCAATTCTATTGATTCGTTTGCTATGCTTGCAGATTCTTTTGTAAAGGCACACGCCGGAGCCATTAAGGTTGCAACAAGAAAGTCGGACCTTTTCAAGGTAAGGTAGAAAGAAAATGAGATGCTCAGGGAATTCGTATCTTAATTCCAAACGGAGAGAATGGATTTGTCACCGGTCACCGACGATTGGGCTGTTCAAGCTTTCACTCAAGGTCTCAATGTTCGGAGTTCCATAGCTTCACAACAGTTGGAAAAAATTTGATCGAGTATCCAGCTGTCACTTGGGCCGATGTACATAATCGATATCAGTCGAAAATCAGGGTCGAGGATGATCAACTAGGGACCCCTTCCGGGTCTGTTTATCCTAACAGGCCCATGAATAGAATCAAGATGGATATCGATCGAGAGCCAAGCTCGGATAGAGATCGATATCAACTGTACAACGGAGACCGTAGAGGCCGCGGGTCTGGACGAAACTTTGCATGGAACGAGGGGAGAAATAATCGAGGTCAAAGTTCATCGGGACTCGTGAGCAAGGGTGGTTTTGATAGTGATGTCGGGCCCAAAGAAGCTCCACGATTGTCGGAATATAACTTCAGTGTAGATACATCAGTCATCGGACGTATCAAGGATACTAGATGGCCTCGACCTCTGCAGACCGATCCGGCCCAGAGAAACCCCAACCAAATATGCAAGTATCATGGTACCCATGGTCATAAAACAGAAGATTGCAGGCAGCTAAGGGAGAAAATAGCCCGATTATTCAATGAGGGGCATCCTTGAGAATTCTTGAGCGATCGGGCCAAGAATCACTTCAAAAACAGAGATGCAAGTAGGCAGAATGAGCAGGAGGAGCCAAAGCACGTGATCCACATGATCGTTGGAGGGGTTGATATTCCCCAAGGACCGGTATTTAAACGCACAAAGGTGTCAATCACAAGGGAAAAACGAACTCGGGACTACTTACCGGAGGGGACCTTGTCTTTCAATAATGAGGATGCAGAAGCGATCGAACAACCCCATAAAGATGCACTGGTAATATTTGTGCTTATGAGTAAAATTCAAGTTAAATGTGCTTTGATTGATCCAGGTAGCTCGGCCAGCATTATTCGAGCAAGTGTCATAGAACAGCTCAGTCTACAAGATCAAATTGTGCTCGAAGCCCGAGTGTTTAACGGCTTCAACATGGCAAGCGAAACCACCAAAGGTGAAATTATCTTGCCAGTAAACGTGGTCGGGACCATCCAAGAAACAAAGTTCCATGTGATCTAGGGTGACATGAGGTACAACGCATTGCTCGGAAGGCCTTGGATCCATAACATGAGGGCAGTACCCTCGACCCTTCACCAAGTTCTGAAGTTCCCGACATCGGAGGGAGTCAAAACAGTGTACGGGGAACAACCTGCTGCCAAGGAGATATTTGCAATCGATGAAGTGATACCGGTGTCGGCACTTTCATCAGCAAAGGGATCAAATTCAAAGGGAAAACATGAGGCCAAATAGCAACCACAACCACCAGCCTCGACCCAACCAGAGGAGAAAGGAACTTACGAG